ATAACTAAATAAAGATAGACATAGTCCCTTCTTCCTCTCCCATTTTAAAGATGATTAAACTCCAGTACAGAAAGTTTAGGTGACCTGCTGCTAAGTTGTTGAGCATTGACTAGATCACAGCTCTTCTTGTTCTTCTAAATCTTGTTCTAGAGCATTTTCCCATACAGGACACTACATTAAAACACACACACACACACACACACACACACACACAACCAGGATAAAACCCGAATAGCCCATTTTCTACTATAGTAAAAGAGATCAAATTAGGGAAATAAGAAGAAAAGGAATTATCACCAGGAAGTTTACCACTCTAAGCCAACTACTATTAAAAATGTATCACTCATCATGCCAGACATGTTTTAATACTTATAGATTGGCTGTATACTTTTATAAAAAACAAATATACAGTTAATTAATAGCAATTATACAATGAAATGTATACCAATAATTCACCCTGTCCCCATTAACATTAGACTAAGTCTTTGTCATAGATAATCCGCTTAATTTTAAAAACCTAATGAATTATTAATAGTTCAATAAGTAGTGATATTTAATACCTATATGTAATGGAGTTTCATATATGAGCTGCTAAATCTATCATCATAATGTTTGTATTTTTAACATAAAATGAAACAGATATGTTTTGCTTGTAAGAAATACAGTATCTTTATCATAACTGGCATCCAGGTTTCTCTCTGCACTCTTTGTTGACAGGGTCTTGGCATCTTCAGTTTTTACAAGAATCAACTTATTTCGTAAAACAAAAGTAATAATAGTTTTAAAAATTAAAACAGGCCACTTGCCATCTCCTGTCTCTCTTCTCTCCTCCAGCACTTCCTCAGTGCTATTGATTGACAAATGGGTTTGCCTCACATCAAATAACAAAAGCCAAAGGTAAGTGCAAGGAGATTGAAGAAAAGTAACAAAAATGTAACCCTTACTGTAGAGAAGTATATAAATGTATGTGTATGTATGTCCGTATGTAGTTATTTATTTATTTATTTGTTTGCTTATTTATTTATTTGAGACAGAGTCTGTTGCCTGGACTACGGTGCCAAGGCGTCAGCCTGGCTCACAGCAACCTCAAACTCCTGGGCTCAAGTGATCCTCCTGCCTCAGCCTCCTGAGTAGCTGGGACTACAGGCATGTGCCACTATGCCCGGCTAATTTTTTCTATATATTTTTAGTTGGCCAATTAATTTCTTTCTATTTTTAGTAGAGAGGTGCTCAGCTCTTGCTCAGGCTGGTTTCAAACTCCTGACCTTGAGCCATCCTCCTGCCTTGGCCTCCCAGAGTGCTAAGATTATAGGCGTGAGCCACCATGCCCAGTCTGTATTTATTTTTTTAATGTCATAAGTATATAGGATGTGTTTTTGTCAAAGTTTCTTCAAGAAAAAATAAGTTTTTCCACTATATGGTAAGATGACTGGGAAGCAGCACACACACATACATGCCCAATTTCAATCAAAGGTTAGTTAAATCTTAGTACATAGGTACAGCTGGCTCATACTCCTTCCAGTTCCCCAGTTGTGCATGTGCACAGTCCTCACTGCATCATTGTTGTGAGTTCCTAGGGTGGAGTTTTTATTCTCAGGGCCACTATAGACCCTCAGGTCCCTGAACCAGGTCTCTGTTCCTCTCCACATCCATCTTTACTTGACTCTCAGTTCATTTCTTTTCATCTCAAAAAAAAAAAATTCACATCAAACTATTTATGAGAATAATGGGCTTTCCTGAACAGAGGAAGGAGAGCGTAGTTTAGAACATAAGTAGGGCTTGCTTTTCAGCAACATAAGCAACTTCTCAAGGAACAAGTAGGCATCACCCTTCCACAGGGGAATCTTACTGGCCAAATACAGCCCTCACCCCTCTTCATCTGTTTGACTCATCTCCTGCTCCTCTCAGCCTTGCTCCTTAATCCTTCCCTTCTGCATTGTCCGAGACTTCAAATTTCATCTACTGTTACGCAGAGCAACTCCATCCCCATTCCACCGCTGTGGGCTGTGGTCACACCCATACCAGCACAGGGTCTCCCATTTCTCTCAGGCTTTTCAAAGCATTTTCTCAGATGAAGACAATACTCTCCCAAGAAGCTTTTGTTGTACACTGTTAAAACAAATCCGTTATCTCTCTGTGGATGTCCCTCCCTCAACCCCCACCTTTTATTCTTGTATTCTTTTATTCTTCCTCAAATTTTAGCATTTCTGAAAGCCAGATAAGTGTGTACATGTAGTAATAGACAACAATTTTGATGGTCAAGGGAATCTGGGTCTGGAGTGGCTGAAAGGTGGTGGTGATGACTCAAATAACATTTTTTCAAAAGGAAAAATAAGTTTGCTTTTCTCCTCTCTGCCTGAAATGTCTAATGAGCTTTCTAGCAGAGCCAGGTTATTTTCCTCTGTCCTGGGAAGGTAGTTACTTCTTATTTAAGCCCAGTGTTGTCAACTGCTGGATCTTCAGTTTGGATGAATCTTACACAGCCGTGACATCTGCACTTACGTGTTCAAATACTGTGGTTTGATGAAAATATACGGCCACTTAGACTGCAGGGTCAGAGTTCCAGCTGCCTAATAATGTAGGTTTTGCTGCTCATCTCAAAACGGCAGTTTCGGAGAAAAGTCATTAGGCGAATAAACTTTAGAGCAGTGAAATTTCCATAGAACCAACAGAAGTTAATGATGGCGAAACTCATTTTGAAAATGCCAAGACAGAACGTGCAATCCAAACATGTCTGGACTTGCTGCAAAGGGATTTTGAATCATTGTCAGAAGTGGCTACCAGGCAACTAATGACAATAACTGTAACTCAGAAAATGTGACCATATGGATTAAGGAGATGGAAAACAGAGATGCAGCATTAGCTATAAGAAATGAAGAAATGTTTATAAACAGTGAGAGGGAGATTTGCTATATTGTGTGAAGGTGAATGGGCTGGTCCCGTGGGCCATTGTAGAGGACTTTGTCAGTGCTCCAGCCATAGGCCTTGGACTTGACAGTGTGTTCATGCTGACGTTCATCAATTAGAGTTTGCCTCTCTGTGCATGAGGGCTTATTTTCTCAGAATCACAGATTTCTCTGTCTAGAAGTACGAATATCAGGCCAGAAATCCAGGTAATTAACAATCCTCAGGAGCAGTGCTCAACCAATAACTCTGGAGCATATGTACAAATACCCCAGCTCTCTCACTCCTTGGGTAGGATAATTCCAAGGTATGTGTTTTCCTCCACTCCCCGGAAGTTTCTCCATGAAATTAATCTCCAGTTGCCCTTGTGATCGATGCCTCAACTACTTTTCCTTCCCTCTCTCCCTTTATCATTTACCTGCCAGTGTTCCCTGAACTGACCAGATGTTATGTCTCAGGTCTGCTTCTGAGAATGAAACTATGGCACTCACCCATCAGATTAAAAATTTTGGGTGTCTGTACATAAAACACTATTTTTTAAACAGATCTAATGTTAGCATTAAGTTTCTTTGTTGATGATCTTGGCTGCTAAATGTGATTTGTCATTAATCTCCATAGTACCCATGTGCAACACCAGGCAGCCACATTATGAAGAAGTGAAGTAGAAATTAGCTGATGATGTCACTTTTTTCTGCATTATTAGTACTTGGCATTTAGGTTGGCCTATGAACATTGTCAAGAGACTTCGGTGTTTAAAACATACTCATTTTTGGTTATTTATTTCAATGTCTGTGAATTTACAACTTTGGCAAGTGATTTGTGTTTATTTTTAATGGCAGATGTCCATTTTAATGTGGATATTTTAACATGTTGACACATCCACATTGTGTAGAATATGATCATTAACTTGTAACCAAAGTATGATCTCATATTATTACTTCTCCCTTTGATTGAAAAAAATATGCCTATGTTTTTACTATTTCCCTCCAAGAATAAGTCAGACATTTGGTAGAAAATTTTTAAATGGTAATAAAAAATAGTGATTTTTTTTAAAACTGAGAAGCTGTTATTTCTATAGTGCTTTTATAATCAATAATGTCTTAAAATTGAGGAAATACATGCATATATTTATCTAGTAATATATGCTTATTATAAAGTTTCCTTTAAAAAAGGCATAAAGAAAAAAAATCAGCCATGATGTGAACACTCAAATGTAAATGCTATTAACATTTTCATAGGTTTCTAAATATCTTTTTTCCTGTGTTTGTACTCATATTTATTGGAATAAATAAGATCATAATATAATACATATTGTTTTATAAACTATTTTATTTACATGATAATGCTTCATGAATGTTTTTCTACATTATCTCCTCCTATTCAAAATGCTAACATCTTTCTTGACTAGAGTAGATGCTGTGCAGAGGAGAAATGGATGATCACTGTCTAGTATTGACTGAATGCACCTTCTGCTTTGAAATAGCATCTTCTGCCAACAACATCTGAAATACTCTCCATTGTATTCATTATTTTTAGCTGCTACCTTTTTTGGAGAAAGAGAATATCCAAGGACATATATGGGAATATTACCCCAAATGATAATTAACTTTATAATGTTTCTATCTACTCTGATGAACCCAGCAGGATTGTAGAGCGGTAAAATAAACTTGTTCTAAATTTTGGATCTTGTGTTAGCAAGATAGGCTGAGGCAGATCCCCAATAATGGAGGCCCTAGAATATTTAGGGAGTATGGAAAGAAAAAAAACAAACAAAGGTGGGACCATTCATCTCCTAACTTCCTGTGTAAAGGGCTATTTTCTTAAGCTCTCTGAGCTTTGGTTTTATCCACTGTACCAAGAGGAGGCTGGTTTTTCTCTATGATCATTTTGCTTGCCAAGACTTGAAGTTAACTAGTCTTTGAGTTCTTGCATACTGTCGTGGACATGTATAAAGAGAGCCTGGCTCCCTTTCTCCTGATAACACATCCCATCTCTTCCTTTTGGAGAATCACACCTTCCCCATTGTCTGCCATGCAGCTTATGTGGGGCTGACCCCAACTCTGGCTCCAGGGCAAGGCATGTCAGCCAGGCCTGGCCAATCCAGAATACCAAATCCCTTTGATCACAATGATTGGTTGAGAGGTTGACATGTGACTCAAGTCAGCCAATGAGAACCATGCTTGAGAAAAAGTCTCTCAGGTTGCAAATCTCATAGAAGGTAAGTCTGAAGCTGCTGATGGTTATCTTTCCTGTTGCTTGGCGAGAGTCTGTGGAGAATGAAGTAAACAATAAAGTAAAAACACAGGAAAACAGAGCTTGTAGATTGAAGATTTTTATGTCTGTACTTCTGAAAGTGTTTTAAGAGAAAGAGGTTTAGGGTCTGCAACAGCAACAGTGACCCATGAACCACAGTGTGTCCATTATACAAAGAGGCAGCCAGACCTTGAGGAGGCAGGATCAAGACTCTGGCCATGAAGTTTCCAGCTTCAACAGTGATTCCCATACCTCAGACCTGTCACGGAAGCAGAGATCCACCACTGTGGGCTTGGATGATGAGGATGTCAGTGTATTTGAGATCTGGCTATTAGAGATTCTTCCTCTGTTTTCCAGCCACCACATAAACCTCCTGGATTCTGGTCTGAGTCTAAGAGAAGGAGAGGGCTATAAAAATTCGCTTAAATTTCCTACCAAGCCAGTTCTGTAAAGGCTTGATGATAGAATTAAGCTAATTTTTAAAAATTATAAAAATACAGAAATGTGATATTTCTTGCATATCTGAATAATTTAACTAAGAACCATGCAAATTGCAGAACATGTTTTTTTTAATTATAACATGTATTTTTTATTATTATTATTTTCCTTACACTTCTGTGGAGACTTCACGCAGCCTGACATGTTGTCCCTCACAAAGTAGGTGCCATTGCAGGTTGTCAATTTTTTTTAAAGGAAATGGGAAGAGCTTTGCTATTGGTACGAGCAAACTGCTAAGAAGGTAGAGCAAGGGGTGTGACAAAATGAGGGTTTCTGCTTGGTAGGGAAAAAGAGGTGATTCTCAATCTGTTTCTTAGAGCATTCATACACAGCCTTGTAGCCAGCAGAGAGCGCCTTGTGAGTATGAATTGAGCATAGGAAGGAGTGGTGGAAAGCGGGTTAGATTTTGAAGGGTTTTGAAAGTTGGGCTAGGATTATGAAATTTATTCAATGGGTAACTGAGGTTCCTAAGGAGAACTCACATGAATAATTTTTGGTTTAAAATTAGTCTGATCAAAAGAATGTAAGAATAATTATGCTTACTTGGCATTCTCTACATTTTAATTAGTACAAAACTATTGTGACAGCACTTTTGTTTACCAAACGTAGAATACAGGAACAATACATGAAATTCTCAAAAGAGAATTTCAGCCTTCCTAGGATATTTATGTGTAAATAAAATGTTAATATGAATAGAAAAAAAATTAGTCTGATCATACTGCTTAGGATAATGGTTCAAAGAGTGATCCCAGACCAGCAGCAAAAGCAGCCCCTGAGAACTTGTCTGAAATGCAAATTCTCAGGCCACAATCTAGACCTACTAAATCAGAAAACATAGCAATCTGTTTTTTAAATAAGCCTTGCAGGTGATTATGATGCACACTCAAGAACCAATGGAATTCTAGAGAAGGGGAAAGTGCCTTTCCTATGAGTCACCTGACGAAACTTGAATTTATTGCCTTCAGATGTTTTAAGTCAAAGGTAATTCAGCCAGCAGCATGTTAACAGGTTGCCCACCCCATAAACAGAGAAAGTAGAATTTATTCCTCCGTGTAAGGAACCCATTAAAGTGCTGCTTTTTTATTTCTTTCTTGAATTACACACTAACTATACAAAACACACCCCAACCTCAACTATTTTCCAGAGAAATAGAGAAAAGCAGCATAAGGCTAATATTAAACCACAGGCTCCTCTGATTTCTAATTATCAGAAGTCTCTCATTCTACCAACCCTGCTCTGGAGGCGTGTGGATACTTTTGGGACGCTGTTTCTTCATGTGAATACCACATTCAGCGGAACACCAACTTGACTTTGGATTTCTGTGGGTCTGGTTTCAAAGTTATTTCTCAAAGTGTTTGTGATTTAATACCCGTGAGATGTTGCTCAGTCAGGCAGGCAAGGTTAGCAGAAAACCCTTCTTTGAGTCCTGCCAAGCTTTGACCATGCTCACTGGTGCACAGTGCTGCCATATTAGACCCAAGAGCCTGGAATTCTTCTCACACTGTGGGAGCATCCTATGCTGCAGGAGCAGGGCTAAGGAAGACAGAGCCTTTATTCCCCCAGTCAGAGTGAACCAACACTACAGTCCCAGTAAAAACACGGTGCCTATTACCACTGGTTTTCCAACACATTCGCTCATGCACATTTTATTTCAAGGACTTATTGTAAATGCAATCAGATGCCCCTGGTGTTTGCAAGAAACTCTATTGGCCATGAAGACTTACCTTCACTTTCTTCTCTGATAGATGCTATTGTGGTCTCTTGAACACTTCCAGAGATGGGTCGCACATTTCTTTGTGGCCACATGGAAAGTACAAAGCATCAGAGTGTAAACGTTGTCAGATACTCCCACATTCTTAGGTGTGCTGTTAGACTGCCAACGCAGGGCTGCAGAGAAGTTAACTGAGAAGCAGCTATGAAACTGTTAGCAGACCACCCATCTCACCATACAAATGGAATCAGAGATGCCAAGAATGAAGTTGGAATGGGAGAGAGCATTTCTTTGGAGAGGATTGATGTGGATATGCTGTGAGTCCCACCCCCCTCTATAAAATAGTATAAAATATTAGTGTCGTTGTGTGTAGGGACTCTTTGCAGAGTAAATTATATTATGCATCTAGAGCAGAGTTTCTGACTTTTAGTACTAAAGATATTTGGACTTGGATAATTTTTTTTTGTTGTGGGAGCCTATTGTGCATTATAGAATGTTTAGCAGCACCCCTGGCCTCTATTCACTGGCTGCCAACAGCAAACCCCCCCCCCATCCTCAGTTGTGACAAACAAAAATGTCTCTAGACGTTGCCAATGTTCCCTTGTAAACAAAATCACCCCTGGTAGAGAAGCTGTCTTAGTCCATTTGTGTTGCTATAAAGGAATACCCGAGGCTGGGTAATTTTTAAAGAAAACAGATTTATTTGTCTGACAGCTGTGGCAGGCTATACAAGAAGCATGGCTTCAGCATCTGCTTCCGGAGAGGGCCTCAGACTTCTTCTACTCATGGCAGAAGTCAAAGGGGAGCCAATGTGTACAGAGATCACATGGCCATGGAGGAAGCAAGCTAGCGAGGGGAGGCAACAGGCTGTTTTTAAGAACCAGCTCTCATGGGAACTAATAGAGCAATAACTCTCTTGCCACCCCCCAGGGAAGGCATTAATCTATTCATAAGGATTCCGCCTCCATGACCCAAACACCTTCCATTAGGCCCCATCTCCAACATTGAAATAAAATTCCAATATAACATTTGGGGGGACAAATATCCAAGCCATAGCTGAAGCATTGATCTGGACCAGGGGTTCTCAAACTGTTTAAACAGGGGGCCAGTTCACTATCCCTCAGATTGTTGGAGGGCCGGACTATAGTTTAAAAAAAACTATGAACAAATTCCTATGCACACTGCACATATCTTATTTTGAAGTAAAAAAACAAATGGGCAAAAACACCTGCATGTGGCCCACGGGCCGTAGTTCGAGGACGCCCGATCTAGACTCTATTGCCTCTGAAAATTTTTGCGTGCATGTGTGTGTATGTGTATGTGTTTTTGATATGACAGCTACCTGCTTCCTGGCCAGGAAAAGTGACAAATGTATGTTTACCTCACAAGGTTGAGAGACCTCAAAGGAAGCCAGTTGTTGGGATGAAAGGTCCGAGATCACTTTGCTTTGTCTTCCGTGGCACCTCCTTTGCCTCGTGTCTCCCCCCACCTACATGTTATTCAAGACTTAACACAGACATTCAGAACCAAACTGCATTGGGGGAGACCTTGTGCTCTACAGACTAAACTGTTGGGATCGAGGGAGAGAAAGAGATAGATCTCAAGGCCACAGTACTTGTGGCAGAAGGGAATAGTTTTCTCTAAAGTAAGGACTGAGAGTCACATTATAGAAATTTTTAAAATGAGACATTCTATGAGGACAAAGTTGAAGTTTGGGCCTCATTCAAGGACCAAGTATAGGAACTGGGAACCCAGTGAAGAATTTCACTTTAGCTGTTGCTGAATTAGTTCTCCTTGGACTATAGGATTCTATTATATAAAATTATATAAAATTCTCTTTGGATTCTATTATGTAAAATTCAATGTAAGTAGTGAATTTTCTCTGTATTTAAATTGTTATTTACCCCAATCTCTTAGCTGTCTTACACAGCCTGTGAGGTGGTGGCGTGAAGAACTGGGGAAAGGGTGTGCTGGCTAATCCAGCCTTCGTCGCTTAGCATTATATCCTCGTTTCCTCGCTCTTTGTGACACTGGGCTGGGACACCACATTTCTGCTTTGCCAGCTGATTCCTTGTTAGGCTCTGATGATAGGGAGTTGTAGAGACAGACTGCAAGGATGGAGGAGGGAGGAAGTGTTTTCTTCCTGTCCTCTCAGTGTCACCTGGGCAGTGATCCGCGCTGTCAGTGACAGGTTGTGTTAGCAGCCATTGGTTACAGCTTCATTTTTTTTTTTTCTTCCTCCCGGAACCAACCATGCAGGGCAACTCCCTCGCCTCTGATATCTACCAGAGGCATCAGTACAAGCTGGCTGGTTCTGCCACCTTGGAGATCTGTGTTTTTAATTCTGTAGGATTCCTCTTCTAAGCTCCTAAAGCACTGGTCTTGGCTGGCAGTGCCCCCTCTTCAAAGGCCTGAGTCCCAGCTCTGCCAGCCCCCAAATTTTAATAAACAAGTTTTTTCTTTATCCCTTTGAGAGGTGGTAGCTGCTTCTTATAGTTACTACATCTTTGTTACCTCTAGGATCCTTTTATGGCTTGTTAATCCTCTATTACATAGTAATAGTAATTTGTTAAAATTACTGATTTCTGTTTTCCTGGCTGGACCTTGTTGGGAACAAGGGAAACAGGGCTGTGTCCATAGTATCTTTCTGCCATGGCCAGCATACTGGCAGCATTTCTGACTTGAGGCATTCAGGGTCCCCACACCCACCTCAGTGTTTCCAGCATGGCCAGCAGGAGAGCTCACAGGGGGCTCCAGAGGATGAGTTTCTGAGGCTCAGAAACAATAGCTTAATGGACAAACTGGCCACACCCATGAGAAAATGCCCCTTTTATTCCAAATCTAAGGGTAACTATGGATTCGCTTTTGTTTTCGTTATAACAAAATAGAGTCTCATCCGGTAAAGAAAAACTTACTGGAGTACATCACATATAATAAAGATAGTATCTTATGAACCTTTGTTTCAGTTTTATATAAATGCATGCAAGTATGTACTGATATCTAATATAAAATGCCTTTTTTATTGTAAGTCTGGGGAAAAATAAAAGGAAACAAGAGCTGGTGGCTGACACTTAGGATTCATGTGAAATCATGAGACTTCTGGGCTTTTTGTTAATTCACAGAAAAGTAACCTGGGCAAATGTCTGCACAGTCATTTAGTCTTAGGGGCTCTTCATTCGCTGAAAGGGCTTTCAGTAGGAAGTCCCTATGCTCCCCCAAACCTGACAAATGGAAGGCCCAGGAAGACTCAAGGACCCGTGGAGAGGCCATTGTCCTGGACCCTGTCTACCATTTCTCCTGGGTGCTGCCGTGCAGGCCTTGGCTTCCTTGCTCTTTTCCCGTCCCATGCTTGCTCTCATTTAAACACTCCCATGCCTGCCCCACTAACTAACATGAGTGGAGGGTCAGAATCCACTGAAGTAACATTACATACACTTTTCAACTTTGAAATTGCTTAGGCCTTGTGCTAAGGGTTATTGGACTTTATTCAATCCAGTGTTGCCTGAGCTTCTAGGATCAGTTTTCTCTTTCTTTCTAAAACTCTATCCCTACTACACAAACACATCCACATGTGTGTGTGCATCCTACTTCCCTTTTATTATAATCCCAGCTGACAGGTATCTGAGGTTAGAATGCTTTTCCTCCCTGAAAGACACAGCACCAGTTGGGTAGAACTCCCTGACCTCAGGAGTCTGTGTCTTTTCTAAAATGTCTGTTCACAGACTGGCCACGTTTGGGCAAGAAACTGAGACAGAAGTGTCTGACCTGCGTAAGTATAAAATGGTCTATATCATCCTAAATACTGAGAGTAATCCATTCCCTCGGAGCTTATCTTAAAAGAAGAATATTCCTAATGCAAAAAGATGAGTGACAAATTTATCTATTTCTTAGGAACCAGGTTTCTGCTATTGTCTAATTTTTCTTCAATAAGCTCCTCTTCTAGGCCACTCACCCTAACTTACCAGCATCTGGTCCTGTGATTATACACCGAGTTCTTGGAGTGCTTCAGCAACTCCTTGACATTCAATCTTGCATACTTCATTTCGGAACTGAGCTGGACTACATTGCTGAGATTTTAAAGCTCTTTCATGCTAGCTAAAATAAAGGAAACAATTACCTTAAGTGCAATTAATGAAGGGCCCAGAGGATTCCATTCACAAGAAAATGCTGGGGGGAAGAACATTATTTGCCTGTGAATTCACTTTGTCCTTCCAGACCCTTCAAATCTTCAGTAAATTTTAAAATTTCAATTCTATGCTGAAACTTGGATGAGATGCATAGAGATTGCCCGATCTAATGTTGCAAGCAAGAAAAATAAGAATCGAGTCATTTAAATGACTTATCTGAGCTCATTTAACTGGTTATCAGCAAGGCTATTGGACATAGCATTGATTTCCAATAGATAATTTATTTTAGGAACAGCAAATATAATCCATTGTTAAGCAGTGCACCATATGGCAGGAGGATTGCAATTTCACAAGCATTTACTTGGCATTGAACATTTAATTTAAAAGTTTGCATCAACTAGAAAGCCCCTAATGGAATATCTGGCTCAAGCTCCAGATGGCTTACCATCCCCACCTCAATTCACTACACCAATGAAAAGGAACATTGTTTCTCAAACAGGTAGAGGCACACAGCATCATTTCCTTGCTCAGGTGTTGGGTGCAATTGTGGATGCAGTTGTATTCATAGCCAACATGAGATTTTCAAGAAATGAAGATGAACTTATAGATCTTCAAACTCATAGAATATCTGAAGAAATGGCATGATCTCAGCTGCCCTATTGGTATTTAACACTCAAGATTTCAAATGTCAACATGCACTGATATATTATCAAGTTGGAGAAAGGAGACACTATACTTGTGAGTCACTATTAGAGCCCTTCTTAAAATTGAATGTCAACTGGAATCTTGTTAAAAGTGCAGACTCAGACTCAGTAGATCTAGGGTGGGATCTGAAATGCTGCCTTTATAGCAAGTGTTCAGGTGATGCTATTGCAGCTACTGCATGGACCACACTCTATGCAGCAGAATCTAGTAGATTTGTACACAATGATGAGTAGTGGAAAGATTATAGACCCTGGAGGCAGAACTACAGCCACCTAAACCTTGTTTCTACCACTCTAGTCTAGATGACTGATCTTAGAAAAATCATCGAACCACTTTAAGCATTAGTTTTGTCA